ATATATATATATATATATATATATTATATATAGATATATATATATATATATAGATATATATATATATATAGATATATATATATATTAATATATGTATGCATATGCAGATATACATGACAACAAAAAGCAGCATAGTAAATATATAAATATATAAACAAATATATATACATATATATACATAATAAATATATATATATTATATATGAATAAACAAAACAACATACGTGTATAGAGAACAAACTAAAGACAATTATAACATGCTCAACGGCGATAGCCGCACAACTAAACCCTAAACCCTAAACCCTAAATACAAAAGCATATCAGCATTAGCAGGAGTACAAGGACTTCATGTGCTGCTGCTTTTGCTGCTGCTGCTTTTGCTGCTGCTGCTGCTGCTGCTGCTGCATGCGTTTGTGTTGACAGCAAATGGAGGAGGCGCGCCAACGGGTGCGCACGAGTTTGTGCAGCTCTTACATTGAGTCAGCATTGATGTCTTGCTCGGTAAACCCTAAACCCTAAACCCTAAACCCTAATAATAAGCCCTAAACCCTAATAATGAGCCCTAAACCCTCAGCCTATAAGCTATGCATGCACGTCATGACTGCTGCTTGCTGCTTCTTGCATGCAGATACTGCACACCCGCATCAGGGCCATCGCTAGTTGGCTGCAGCAGAGCCTGTCAGACTAAAGAAACTTGAAAACTGCAGCAGCAGCAGCAGCAGCAGCAGCAGCAGGACCAGCAGCAGCATTTGTCACTTGTTGCTGCTGTTCGTCTCATAAAGAAAATTTATTCCTTTAGTTGTTTTAAAAAGCGTTTTGTTGTGTGAGGCAGCAGCTGCCTTTGCTGCTGCTGCTGCGCGGACAGCAAGTTGCTGCCGCTGCTGCTGCTGCTGCTGCACCAGTAGCAGCAGCAGCTACTCAACTCCCAAACATTATTCATTTAAAATTTGATTTGCATGCGTTTTTAGCTGCGAAGCCCCAAAGCCCCATCCCTTACCCTGCTGCAGAAGCTGGTAGTTAAACACTGTCCTGGTGCTGCAGCTGCTACTGCTGCTGCTGCTGCAGATGCTGCTGCAGCACCCCGCTGATGTGCTTCGCATGCGTCAGCAAGAGAGTATGTGGATGGGCCCCGTGGATTTGCTGAACTACCAGCGGTGCCTGAGAGGCCCCTGAAGCATTACAAGCCCTCTGCAGCTCGCTGCTGCTGCTGCTGCTGCTGCTTGCATGCAGAATTAGCCGAGGGACCTGCAGCGCCGAGAAGCACTCCGCCAGCCAAGCAGCAGCAGCAGCCTCTTTAGAGTCTCCCCACAGCAGCAAGCAATCTTCAATAAATCCTTCCAGACGCTGAGCCATGCAGCAGCAGCCGTTCATGTGCTGCAGTCGCAGCAGCAGCTGCTTGTACAGCTGCTGCTGCTGCTGCTGCTCGGGGTGCGAGTGAGAGGCTGCTTGCGTACGAGCGTCTAGTGTCCCGGCAGGAATCTGCTGCTGCAGCAGTTGCTGCAGCTGCTGCTGCAGTGAGGGTTGCTGCTGCATGTCCTGCAGCAGCTGCTGCATCGCGGGCAGCGGCGCTGTGTGCGCATTGGCTGTCGCCGCATGCAGCAGCACGAAGACAGCAGCTGCTGGGAGGTAATTTGCTGCTGCTGCTGCTACAAACTCAAGGAAAGAAATCTTGGGGGCAGGTAATCTGAGTTTTGCTGCGCCCTGCGGCAGCAGCCGCTCAAAGAGGTGCCGATACACCGCAACTCGACGGAGGGTGTGGGCCTCCAGGGGCCCCCCAGCAGCACCTGCATGCAGCTGCAGCAGCGGCTCTATCAATGATATGCTAAGCACTTCTTCAGGGAAGAAATGTCCGTAGGCAATTGCATGCGCGCACCCCACACCCACACCCAGCAGGTGCACACCCTGCTGCTGCTGCTGTTGCTGTTGCTGCTGCTGCTGCTGCTCCTGCTCCTGCTGCTGCTGCTGCTGCTGCTGCTGCACGCGTCTGACTACGCCGTTGAAAAGCGCTGCCTGGGTCCAAATGCGGTGTCTGTACATCAAGTTTTTCTCTGCAGCGGAGAGGACAGGAGACCTGCTGCGCTTTGGCCTGAAGTGCTGCTGCTGCTGCTGCTCCCACAGAGGAGGAGCAGACGAACGAAGGTAGCCCTGTCTATTAAGCAGCAGCAAGTTGCTGATGCTTGAAGGAAAAGAAAGACCCGAAGCCAGCAGCTGGTCGCTCCCACAAAGGCCGCCGTGAAAGAAGAGCAGCAGGCTGCCACCAGCTGCTGCAGTAGTAGCTGCAGCAGCAGCAACAGCTGAAGCACCAGGTGCAGCAGCAGTAGCAGCTGCAGGAGCAGCAGCACGAGCAGCACCAGCAGAAGCAGCAACACCCAAGAAGGTAGCTGCTGCTGAGGGGTGTTGAGGGTTTGGCAAATAAACATATTCTGTCATTGCCTCACCGGATGCATGAAGGCTGCTTCTGAAGAAAGATTGGAGGGTGCTGCTGTCTGTACAGTTGGATGCCTCATGCAGCATATCTGCTGCAGCAGCGCATGCGCCCGAGTCTATGAACGCCTGCTGCTGCTGCTGCCAGCGGCGGTGAGCCACAACTCCTAACGTAGCTGCAGCAGCAGCTGGAAGTACCCACGGAGGCACCGGGGCCCCCACGAGGCTCGATATCGAGCGCATGCAGTAAGAGGAAGCAGCAGGGGGCGTCCATCTGCAGGCTGTATAGCTGCTTATGCTGCTGCCTGCTGCATTCAATAAGTAACTATGACGACGGGGGGAAGCAGCACTGAAGAGATTGCTGCGCCAGGCCCCAGTTGACCACAGCAACGCAACGCCACTACCATTACCTTTGCTCTTGTTTGCATGCAAAGGAAGCGCTGCTGCACCCTTAAGAAACAGATTATGAAGAGGGTTCATAGTTCAATCTTGGCGTCGTTCCTTTGCTTGCGTAGCCGCGGAGGAAATGCAGCGAAACTCAGCGGGGAGCGCCGCGACAGAAATGCCATTTACACTAAGAAGGCAGCTGCCTATACACCTGAGAAGCTCAGAAAGGCCCCAAGAGGAGGCTGGGGTGCTCCCCGTGCACTGGTATATACTGCCGAAACCGCACGCATTTGCACAACGGGGGAAGGGGGTGGTAGCGAGTAGTAGGGAATCTTCTTCTGAATATACGGCTTTCATGCAGGTAGTGAGGTAAAATGAAGATACTAACCAACTTGTTTACGCGGGTTTGTGCAGTGTTGTAAGCTGGATTTCCAGCCAGTCGTCTGTGTGGTTCAGTGTACGCGGCTCCTGCAGCGAGTTAGCGGAAATAAGAAGAAACGGCCAAGACTAACGCATCTTTTGAAAGGTTTTGATATGAATTTTGCAATAAAAACACCTGAGGAGACTTTCACACAGTTTAAAGCCCTGCATGCAACAGCTTTCCGTCGCCATGGGTCTGTTTGAGCTCGTGCCGCGTGACTCTCGCTGGCAGCATACCGGATTGTTCTCATGAAGGAAACTCATTTTAAATCGTGAAACTTCGCGTTTCAAGTCTATAAATGCATTTATTTTCGAAGAACGAAGCTCAGGGGGCTTCTTCTAGCCTGTTCAGGTTTCCGATTCAACAAGACATCCACCGTGTGAACTCGTTGCAGCATTTTGCTTTGTTCTTGCTAGCTCCTGCCTTTCCTCTATTCTTCACTTGATATGTTTAATTATTATTTTCTGATTTCTTTATTTTAACATCTATGATGACGCCTCCTCACTTCCCGTGCGCTACTTGAGCGACTGCATTCTGAACTTCTTCCAGAGCAGTTCAGCAATATTTTTTTCTCTAGTGTTGAGGCTATAGAATTTAAATTTCGTTTTCCCCCAATTCATTCTTTCTCCACCTCAGTCATGATGGAGTTTCAGGGCGCCGTTGTCTGCCTTCAACGGCGGCCTTCTCCGCAGACGTTATGCTGGGGCTTTGCTGCAGCTCTGCTGTTATTTTGCTGCTCCTCCCCTTTGGCTTCTGCTTCCAAGCAGCAAACTCCTCTCGATGAAGACGGAATACAAACAATAGACTATACAGCAGCAGCATTTGTTGTCGCTGCACTCTGCGTCGTCGTCGCAGGGGCTTTCTTCTTCTTCAGAAGCCGAACAGCTGCAGGGACTCCAGAAAGGTAACCCTAAATCCTAAACCCTGAAATTGTTTTTGCATGCAGGGCTAGCAGTGCTCAGTGTCCTTGGGGCTTCCGCTGCATGCGCGCCTCAACATGTGTTTGTCTCTTATTTGCTGTTTACAACTTCATGCACTCTTCAGGCAGCAGCCTCGGGTTGCTGAAGGCCGCAGACGGAAGACAGACCGCTCGGCCATGGAAGATCTTATGAGGGGGGCCCCCGCCGCTGGCGGGGGGGCCCCCGCGGCCCCTGGGACACCTGAGGGCCCTCGCTCGCACTTGCAAGCTGCCCAGCGAAAGAAGGAGGAGAGGGAGCAGCGCCGCGAGCAGCGGCGACAGCAGGGCGAAGCGGCAGCAGCGGCGGCAGCTGCAGCAGCAGCTGCTGCTGCTGCAGCTGCTGACGGTGCTTCAGGCTCAGAGAACGAAGAAGCAGCTCCTATGTCGCACAAACAAGCGAAGCAGGAGGCGTACAGGAAGCGGCAGGTATATCTCTTCTTGAAGGAGGGGCTGCATGCGGTGCTGCATGCGATGTTGCATGCGCTGCAGGGCGTATTTGTGTATATATACTTTACAGACTCTCAGTACAGATGTAGAATGTGAGAGGATAGACAGAGATGCATGCAAAGACGGCGCAGAGGCAACTGAAGAACACCAGAGAGGGAGATAGGGAGAGACAGCGCCGACGGGCTTGCTGCTGCTGCTGCAATTGGTGCTGCACTTGCTGGTGCATATGCTGCAGGCAGAGAAGGAGAGACTGAGAGCCGAACGCGAGGCAGAGGAGGAGCGGCTGGCTGAGGAGAAACGCAAAAAGGAGCAGGAGGAATACGAGGAATGGAAGGCAAGGGTTTAGGGTTTAGGGTTTAGGGTTTAGGGTTTAGGGTTTATAAGAGCCAGCAAGGCCCCAGCATTTCCGCCTAGAGCCTTTTCAGACATGATGCATGCATGCACTTGTATGCATGCATGCATACACTTCCACCCATGCATGCACGCACTTGCACACAGTTACAGTTGCATGCACTTGCATGCACTTGCATGCATGCATGGGTGTGTGATTACGAGTACAGAAGACGTTTGAGATTGAGGCGGAGGGGGAGCTGCAGATATCAGCCGAAGAGGAGGCGCAGCAAATTGAGAAGTTCGTCGCCTTCATCAAAATTCGCAAGGCGGTGGAGTTGGAAGAAATCGCCGCAGAGTTTGGCCTCAAAACCAAAGTGAGGATGCTCACTTTGGTTATATATAAATAAATATATAAATAAATATATATATATGTATATATATATGTGGGTATGCGCGTAATATGTATATATATATATATATATGTGGGTATGCATGTAATATACATACATTTATATATGTGGGTATGCGTGTAATATACATATATATATATATATATATGTTTATGTATATTATATATATATATATATATATATATATTTGCAGCAATTGCTCTGTCAGGTTAATGAGTGTGTATTATTACTCATGAGGGCTTGTTAGTGTGTATTAGGGTTAGGGTTTTAGGGTTTATAGGGTTCGTAAAGGTGTAATGCTGTGTAATTAGGGGGGCACTAGGGTTTATCTGTGTTTATTAGTGTTTATTGCCAGTGCATATTTGTGTTCAATAGGGTTTATAATGAGGGTTTATGATTTGATTGCCTTTAACTCGGATGAATGATGGTTTTTAATTGTTTTCTAGGGTTTATTACGTACGGTCCGGGGGTTATTGTTATGGTCTAGCGTCTAGGGTCTAGGGTTTAGGGTTTAGTTAGGGTTTATGGTTTATGTTTTAGGGTTCAGCTAGGGTTTAGGGTTTAGGGTTTAGGGTTTAGGGTTTGTGCGTGCAGGACTGCGTGAAGCGGATCGAGTGTCTGCGTGAGAGCGGGCGTCTTTGCGGTGTATTGGACGACAGAGGACGTTTCTTGTGTATAACAAAAGAAGAAATGCAGCAGGTTGCAGAGGCATTAAAGAGATTAGGGGCATTTACTAAAGAGACAGATCTTGTCAATGTCTGCAACCGAATCATCAAACTCACCCCCTCAGAACAGGTCACCAATAAAATATGCATGCATGTTTGTTTGCATGCATGTTTGTTTGCATGCGTGCTAGTTTGCATGCATGCGGGTTTGCATGCATGCGTGCATGCGAGTTCGCGTACACACAAACATGCATGCATGCATGTTTGTTTGCATGCATGCATGCATGTTTGTGTGCATGTATGCACGCAAGTGCATGCATAAGTGTTTGCATGCATGTATACATGCACGCGGGTCTTTGCCTGGTTGCTTGCATGCATGCAATGGGGACTCGTTAATGCAGGCGCTGCGTTCCCGGGACGGCTGCTGCTGCTGTGCTGCTGCTGCTGCGGGTTCTGTGCTGCTGCTGCGGTATTCAGCTGTGCTGCTTTGGGGCTGGCTGCATGCGTTGGGTGTATGTACAGGACAAAGCAAAAATAGAGGAGGAGCAGCGCGCCTCTATGCGTCTTGTAGAACTTGCAGCTGCTGAGGAATAAGCACTACGCATGCAGAAGCAGCAGAATGCTGCTGCTTTTGCTGTCGTTGCAGCTACTGTCTACTAGCACTAGCTGCTGTTCAGCAGCAGCAACAGCAGCAGCAGCAGCAGTTTCTCCTCACTGGCTGCTAGTTGCTTACGTGCTGCTACCAAGCTGCAGCCTATGCGGCATTGCTGGTGCTGTTCTAACAGGACTTTGCTGCTTGCTGCTGCTGTGGTGTACGCGTCGGGAACTAAAAGCACGTGCATGTTTGCATGCATGCATGCATGCAAACATAAATACATGCATACAGAAGCTTGTTTTCAGAGTCGCTTGGGGCCCCAGGGCTTATTATTACTTCAGCCCCAAAAGAAAGAAACCGCAGCAGCAGCAGCAGCAGCAGCAAACGGCCCTAACCGGACGCCGTGTTAATATAGTCCCTGTTCTGTTCACTGGGCCTGCTGCTGCTGTTGCTGCTGCTGCTGCGCGCCGCGCTGCTGTGCTATGTAGCTTCCCCATGCATGCATGCACTTGGTTGCTACCAAGTATTAATAACTGCTATCCGAACAAAAGCCCCAGACTGCTTCTGGGGCCCCCCCCTGCATGCACGACGGCAGCTGCGGCGGGGCTGCGCTGTGAAAAGACGGAAAAGTAAAGAACGCTGCCGCGCATACACCCCATGCATGCATGCATGCATGCGCGCATGCAACTGCATGCACGCAGCGGCATGCATGCATGCATGCACAGCCATGCATGCACGCATGCATAAGTGCATGCATCTGCGAGCTGGACGTACACCTGGCGGTGGTGGTTGGCAGCTGCTGTTTTCTTCTTCTGCTGCGTCGCTGCTCTGCCCCTTAACTGCTGAGCTGAGGGCGTTCCTTCTTCGCCTCTTTACACATATAAATATATATATATAAATATATATATATATGAACATATATATTAATATATATACATATATATACTAATATATATATTCAATGAACAAAGCAAACAAACTGCTGCTGCAGAGCGAAAATACGCAGCGCCTACCCCCACATGCACTGCCAGCCTCTCTTCTCAACTTCGCATAAAACGCATTCTTGTGCAGCCCCCCGCTGCCTATATATATATATATAT